GAGACAATGGTTATTATGGTTATTATATAAATAGACTTTCCTTTGTCATTAGAGACACACGAAAATTATTTTGATTTACCTTGTTTTTTCTTTAGTTTTGGGTTAAACTGTAAATACAATACAGAATTCCCATCTGGGCTTCATGCCAAGGTCAGTCCGTATAAGTCATTAATAAATATACCAATAGTTATCAGGGCCTGTTTATATGATCCGCCTTGACCCGCTAGGCAGGATGAACTTTGCTTTCTGAGTAAATCCTTTCCTGCCAAGGTGGGATCATATAAACAGCACTTATAATTTGTAACTTTCTACATTTTGATTTCAATATTAGTGGCACTCAATAAATGTTTGAGTGATCACAAAATATTCTACACCATGAGAGCAAACATGTCATTGAGGGCAATAAATAAAACATTCAATGATGTCCTGTTGACAAGTAAAATCATCTGGTGTTCAGTTAGATGGAGTAAGAGGGTGGTGGGACGTGTAACAAAGTATTAGCCAAGGGCTAATTAATAGGATGTATCGAAGCTTAATGAGTTATAAAGTTAACAGAAGGCATCACAATAGATGGTTTGCTTAATAAATTACCAATCAACATTTTGGCTAATTAATAGGATGTATCGAAGCTTAATGAGTTAACAGAGGCATCACAATAGATGGTTTGCTTAATAAATTACCACTCTACATTTTCCATTTGATGAGTAAAATATCTGGTGTTGGCAGAGTGAAATAACGAAGTTGGGCACATGGGCTCATTATAATGGCATGGCATGTATTAATTACATTCTTGCTAATAACAAATATCTGTAAATTTGCATGGGCGTACGGGCCTAATCTTGTTTGGGGGGGCACAGTATTAGTTTTCCCGACCGTCGCTAATTAATATTTCTCCCTGAAATTATTGGCGAGGGGAGAGGGGAGGTCACCAAAAAATTTTCCTGGACATACCAAAAAAATTTTTCCTAATATCACCTAATTTTTGCAAACATACGAAAATTTTTCCGGACATATCATAATTTTTCCGAAATCTATATGTTTTGCCCGAATTTCGCATGGATTTTTGCCAGACCATAAAAATTTGGGAGGGGGCTGTGCCCCCCCCCCCCGGCCCATATAAATTTGTGCTTGTTTTATAAGTGCCACTGAAATTTTTTATGGTTAAAATTTTCAGGTTGCTAATGAAGAGTTTGAGATGACAATAAATCAAGTGAATAAAGTTTTAAAAAAAACAATGACTGTCAATGTTAGATGGTGGTTATGTGGATGTATATGTTGTTGTTGTACACTAGGGATGTCTTTATGGCCTGTTGTTTGTCTCAATAAAAGGGTAATTTTCAGATCTTAAATACAAAACAAGATAATCTGTGGGACCTGTCTTAGGACTTTGCCAGGCAAGTATTTCCTTCTGGCAAAAAGGAAATAGACAATGGATTAGACAAAGTGAAAGAATATAAAAAGGGGGCATATGAACCTTTCCAAACCAATCCTTCAAATCAGTATTCTTGTTTTTCAATAGGGCCTTATTGAAAACCGCTGTTGCGATGTAGGTTCCCTGGGTAAATAGTAAATACTGTTATAATAATAATATATAATTTTTATAATATTTGTGAAACTCATTAATACTTTATGAAGAAAACACAAAAAAATCATGTATACCTGATACAGAAATCATGCTGATTTACATAAATTTTCTCACCAAATATCATTCATTTATTTTAAATTGTTGAAGAATATGACTATTCTCTTCGAGCTGTTTCAGAAGCTATATAAAGCATTTGCGGCCATGTTGTATAACTTGTATCAGACATACACAACTACTTGCCTTCGGCTTCAGTTTGTATATCTGATACAACATGGCTGCTCATGCTTTATCTATTACATACAACTTTTACTTTAAATCCCAGATGTAACAATGTGTTTTAATTTTGTAGACTCGTCATACAATAAACAAAGTTTTAGATTCGGAGAATAGCAATTTCTACCATAAAGTAAGTTTTATTACCTTACCACCTGCATCATTGCTAAATGCAGAATTATTTAATGCCGCCATGCATTAACATTGAAACCTCTAAAAGCTTAAATATTTATTTATGGCAGCTTGGTCTTCACTGGAGTTTAAAGAAACAGAAGTGTACATCAAGTAGCATGATGGAATTTGTAAGTAGAAATGTACATATTAAGTTTGTTGTGACCCAAACATAATATTTGTAGTGTGTAATTAAAGATCATTGTAAACATGCCGTTTTCTTTTGGAGTACCATAAATTTAACTTTTCCATTACTGGCTGGCAATTATGATATGTATGGATGAAATTTTGTTTCCAGAGTAAGAAAAACTACAATTTCGTTTTTCCTATTATTTTAGGTACTTCTAGTAGAGTTTCTACCAAAGGCACAAATCCTGAAGCCTGACTAATTGACAGATATCAAAGAGTGGTCTCCGATTTTGAACCCCTTCACATTGGCCTTGCTGTGCATATCAAGTTTAAAAGAACCATAAAGATTAGAGAGCACTTTTATTAACAGTATGATAGGTCTTACAGTTGAAGAATGAAGATGACATTTTAGCTTGTGTGATTTCCAAAGCTGTGGTACACTTTCCCTTGTGGCAAAACAGTTGACTGTCTCAAGCAATTGACACTTATATACATCTCATCAAGATTTATATTCATTATGCAAGCTAATGACGATGCGTGGCAATGTGAACTAGTCAACCAATCAGTACAGAGTGGGTTGTACCCTTGTGTTCTCAGACTCATACTACAGCATACTTACGTGGAGGCCGATTTTAGGGTTTGGCCTAAGACGAAGTTTTGCGATGGCCTTGATCTTCTTTGATGAACAAATTGCTAAATATGTACCTTCAAGATACCTTACATTTACAGGTAATGAATCATGTCGTTTGACAGCCCACAACCTGTCATAAGCCAATAATCAATATGCTTTCTCTGCGCGTGTATACGTTTCAATCATTCGACTGAAGAAATTACTCTATGCCAGATTAATATATTATATTTTTATTGCTGTAAATAGCTTTGTAACGCTAAATGAAATGTGTACGTTGTATTTTTTCACCAGATTATATTTGTAAAGAATTAGGTCAAATATATACAGTATTTTACAGTTTTAATTATTTAATAGTCTTCGATATAAATTAATTTTACAATGCATGTTGATTGCTGTTTTTTGGGTATATTTTAAACCTGAATGTTTGGCCATAATGCATCATGACAATCGTCGGCGTTTCCGAGTATCAATTCGGTTTTCGATGGGAGACCTCCACTTTGAATAAGTTCCAGAGGAATGTTGTCTGATGCAGGAGACGTCCATGGCCTCATTTCTTTGACATCCAGTGGCAGCGTTGAGGTGGGTGTTGAGGAACGTTTCGAAGAATGTCTTCAGTAGTCGTGGAATTTTTGTCCAAGAGTTTCAAAAGTTTAATTCTCTCCAGTGACAGTGTTTGAAGATGTTCTGGCTGTCGGCGCATGATGATTCCACTGTTACCGGCTGTTCTCAGTGTTCCTGTTAGGATCGAATTGGTCCATACAGTTCGTCTCGTGTATCCTTTGTTTTTTTCTTGCACCTATTGTTCTGGAGCTCTCTTGTCTCCACGGAAGCGAGCTTTCTCGATGTTTGACGCTAGATCTCGTTGTAAAGCTGATGGGCGATGGTCTTTTTTAGCTGCTTCCGTAAATGTTTTAGTGTGATCCATTCTTCATCTACGTTTCTGGTGGTGTTGGTTGGATTCCTAGATAGTTTTTCTTTGATGGTAGCGTGGAATTCGACAGCAACAAGTTCAACAACTCTGGCCTGAAGCTTTGAGATGTTGAACTTCTTTCTGTACGGATTGAATGGACAGATTAAGGTAGATGGATATTTTGAGACGACTAATCAGGAGTTTATGATTCGTCCAGCAGTCATTTACATTTCTTGCTGTCTTCATGATAAGAATATGAGGTAGTCAATGACATACAAATGCTTGGAACGCGGGTGCATCCATGATTCATGTAGTTTTGAAGCGGGTTTGGCAATCGGAACTGAGTGTTGGTAATGAAAAGTTCCTGTTCTGCACACATTCCAAGAAGCAGCAATCCGTTAGTATTATAGCTTCCATGACCTTGTTTTGCTATCACGTCTTTTCATAGGTGCTAGTCTTTAAATTCTTGCATTAAAGTCGCAAAAAGCGATGTGCTTGCTACTGCAGAGATGGTGGTATTCAATTGGTTGTAGAACTGAACTTTTATGTAATCATCGGCATCTAGTGTTGGGGCATAGCTAGAGATAAAAAACTTTATTTCCAGAGAGTGGTATAGAGAGAGTCATAAGTCTCTCCGATTTGGTATTTACTGCAAAACCAACCCCTTGAATATGGCGTTCACCTCCCTCCTTCCCTTTCCAAAAAATGGGATTTTTCGATCTTTCCTTCCCCTGTGAGTCTGGTTTCGCTCAATGCACCATGCAACATCAATGTTTAGTCATGATAGTTCTTGTATTACAATAGCTGTTCTTCGCTCTGGTCTCCTGTTGTCTTTCAAATCTGGTAAGGTTCTCACGTTCCATGTTCCAATAGTCAGAGTACAACTCGTTTATAGATCGCGAATCACCGCAAAGTTTTACACTCCTCCCAATTTTTATTACTAATTGTACAATACTCAGTAGTTTAACTTTAATTAATCAGAATTCAGTCATGCAGATAATAAAATACGAGAACACAAAATCATGTGACGTAAGTAAGTGGGGTGTGCTAATCAGTAATCATCCTTACTTGCAGCTGAGAGCTAAGCTGAATTGCTGAGAACGCATGCAGCTCAACCTGATCCAGTCGAAGCCTTACTATAAGGGCACCTCTGGCAGCTACCTTATGTCTCGTGTCTGATCACGGAGTCCAGCTACGGTGGAAGGTCAGTCAGGGGGTCACGCAGATGCCCGAGATGCGTGGTCATTCGCTCCGTTGAATAAGGGAGGCTGAATGTCATGTTAATCATGTCAAAGGGCTCACATTTTACCTCGTGGTCTTTTTTGACCCGTATAATGGGCAGTACTAGTAGCGAAGTTTAGGTTTCATCGATTCGCGTGATAACGCGTCCTATGGCTACGACCACGGCTATGATTGAATGAGAAGATTTAAAATTTTAATCAGCACTCATTCATACTGCGTCTACTAGTCGTTCGTGTAGCTAACGGTGCGCTTATACTAAAATAATATTGCTATATTTCTAAACCTTTTTATTCATATATACATTACCACCGCATGTACAACAGGGTAGCATAAAATGCTTGCTATAATAACCGAAAGGTTTCGGAATCGTCTTGAACAGCCAGACGTATATGGTTCTGCTAAAGTTCACACGCTTTCAGTGAGATTAATGTACAGAGTGTTCTTATCACGTTGTTCCAGATGTCGCTCAACTACTTTTCCAAATGCACTTTTACCCAATAATTCGTATGCCAATGTGAGTAACATTGTAGCCTTTCTGTTGAAGATTTCATGTCCAAATGAAAACAAATCCAAGCCTAACTCAAGACCCATACCATAGTCACATTCATCATTTGCAAACTGAATGCGTGTTATGATATCTTGCAATTCGTCCAGGAAAACTTCACGTTGGTTGTCATTTACGATATCTGTTAACATTCTTTTCAGTTCCGCTATATTTAAAACAACAACACATCAGCTAAACAGTTCCGATATATTTAAAACAACAACACATCAGCTAAACTGAATTATGATTATATACTGCGTCTATTACTTGTATTAGTTATGAACTGTTCTCCCTATATTGCAGAGGCAAACCCGTGTAACCGTGAATGAAACTGCGGGTGTTTGGTCCAAAGTGGAAGAACTCTTTTCACGTACGACTGAAGCTAAATTATACTAAGAAAACTGCATGTTTCAGGAATCGAACTCCGCGGTTTCTCAGGGTCTCTCAGGCACAAACTATAAACTAACCATGCACTATACATGTGGCACCAACGCCTATACTATAACAGAGGATCAAGACGGACCGTGGAACCTGTCATGATGGAATATATTTGCAATAATAATGCACTGTTAAAAATTGGCCAATTGGGATCCGGTTTTCCGACTGTTCGAACCTACCTCCAACCCTAGTTATTTCCGACCACATTTTTATAATATTTTTGCTGGTAAAAAGTAATTTCTAGACGCCAGTGTTCGAAATTCGCGTGTGTCTTGTCACACACAATAAGTGAAACGCTCTTTTTTCACAAAAAGTTCTGGACATATAAAATTCTATTGAATTATTTAAATATAAAAAAAATTAAAATAATCCGACCTACCGAGCCTAAAGTTAAGTTAAAATAAAAATTATATATAAGTAAATAACACTACCTAATTCTTCACCAGTTGTTGCCATAATTAAATTTCTTACCATTTGATATCTGAAGATCTCGATAGCCGACACCAGTTTCATCCAAAGGAACAACAATGCCCATTTTATGAAAGGTTTTCGCAACAACTTTCTTATTTCTAGCTTTAATTGATGGAGGATTTGCTTCCAAATGTAACTTTCTTTCGTTGGCTTTTCTTTCTATCTTTTCTTTAAGTTTTCGTGCTTCTGTTGCCCCTTTCTGTTTGCTTATATTTTTTAAACTATTGCTGAAAATTCAATACAAAAGATACGAAAAATGCAAAATATTCTACTTCCCTATATTGTTTTCTTTCTAAACTAACAAGCAAATAGTTTCATGAAAATAATATTAAAAATATCTTTTCCCTATGTTTTCCAAACATTTTAGTTGTGCTTCAACGCATTCCGTATAATTTTACTTTAAAATTATCGATGCACTAGCTGGGACGAGTGATGATCATTGCATGATTTAATTCATTAAAACATTGTCCTCTGAAAACCTTTTCAGTAGATCTTCTCGTGCACAAAAATATTAGGTTTATAAAATGCGAATTATTTGCATGAATGACCATGTTGAGCTACCTTGACAAAGTTAGGACGCAATATTACAGATTATTGTGATAATGAACTTTAGCTGACCTTACTCCAGCAAATATGTTATCGCCAAGTACTTTGAACTCATAATTTGTCTTTGCTTCATTGGAAGCAACTAACACTGGTTTGTCTTCTGGATTATCACTTAACAAAAGAAGAAAGAAAATGCACTATATGAAGTTAATTTTGGAATTATATTCTCTGCGATACCAACTATTCACCAAGCAATATTATGTGGAAAATATTTGACTTTGAGGGAACTGACTCAGTATTTCTTGCTCAAAAAGTTCTTTACAAATCTTTCAACTTTAAGGAAAATGAATTCAAAATAGGTATATGCATCTTATATATAGTTAGCATAATTACAGATTACCACCACCAATTCACAATTGGAAATTAATGATATTAATCATTGTGGTAAACCCAAAAATGCATGTTGCTGCAGTGCTTACCAATAATAACCAATATGTAATCCCACTGTATTGTCACCTTTCAAAACTGTAACAAACTCAGGAGGATCACAAAAATATCTGCAGTGAAGGCTGAGCGAACCAGAATTCTCTGTTGCTTGGAACTTTTTACCAGATAATATATCATAAGGGCCAACCAGCTCAAGATTGAACTCTTTTAAAGCATCTGAAAAGAAAACAATGTCAAGAGAAATCTAAGTACTGATGACAAGTTTAACAAACCTTTTCGTATTTGATCAATTTAACTGACATAGTCTTAGAAATTAATATGCTGCTTAAACCTAAAATATTCTGTGCTTCTGGTATCCCAAGCAACCATCTTTTTCAATGTGGTTGCCCACTTATCCGCTGACACTATTTTATTCAGTTTGTTGCAGGCTGCTCACTTTGTAGTACAATGTTGAAACTTGTTTATTTCAAAAGTTTATTTGTTGTGGCAATGGCAGTTGATCACACCCATGGCAAGATATTTTTTTAAAAAACCTCTTTCTGACATACCTATACCCTAATTTTTTTTTCAGAATATGAAACTGGAACCACAGGATATTTTTACTAATTTGATATACTACCTTGAGGACTCTGGGGATTTAGCTCCTTGCAAAGTTCCCACAGGTCATAGAAATCCTGTGGCATGTTTATACCAAACTTTTCTTGTATAATTTCATGTGGAATTTTGTCAGGCTTTGTTTCTGGAAGAAATAACAGGGGGAAAATATATGTCTCAAACAAGTCCAATGTTAAGCAGAGTTGACAATAGGCTGTGGTTTGTGCATGGATGACTGAATTAACTCTGAACCTGAAAAAGATTAAAAACACTTTTAATGACATTTTGAGCAAATTAGGCTTTTTGTAAGAATTAAGGCCAAGATGTCAAGCAGGGGCTCATTTTGGCCAGGGTTCGTAGTCTCCAAGACCAAAGATTTCAAAGATTTTTTCTGCCTATTTTCAAATACTTTTGAGAGCATACAGCTGTTGAAAAATTGTGAGTGTAAGCACCAATTCTTACCCAGTAATTAGTCCTGTCAAATCACATCCTAAAATACGCCTTTTCATCGATATATTTGAAAACCTTGTTCTTCAGTCAATCTATTTTATTAGCTAGGAAATCGTATAATCAAATACTCACTAATAAAAGTCTAAAAGAATTTAAAGACTTTCTTCACTTTTTCACACAAATCAAATTTCAAAGACTTTTCAAATACTTTAAAGACCTACAGTACATTCAAATTTAAAGACTTTCAAGGATTTCAAAGACCGCTACGAACCCTAACTGTGCCAGACAATGCACTGACGAGGTATGCAAATTGTGTATTTTCAAATTTATATTAATTGTATAGTATATTTATCTGTAGATACCTTCTTTGCTATGTCCAGATGTTGTTTCCACTTGGTTTTCATCTTTCCGACGTTTCTTGGCAGGAGGTTCAACACTTGTATTTCCTTTATCCTGAACAGTGAACACAAGAAATATTTTTATGGAAATGGAAATTCATCATCTAAAGTGATTAAATTATGTGTGTAGTTGCTCTTATGCTGAACTCATGTTCAGAGTAGTAAGTACAAAGATACAATATATAATTATCACTAGTTTACAATAGTGGGGAACCATACAGTACTAATCTGCCACTGGCACATGAGATGTCACACAATTACTGTTCACAACTTTCCCATTGAAAATTAAAATTGTTTGCCATTAGAGTAAAATAACAAACTACTATACTACAGTAGATGCATCAGGGTGCAATGCCACTTTTAAGTTATAAACTTTTTTTTAAGTTAATTAATAACTTTTTAGTTATTAACCCTTTAAAAAGGGTTAATAAGTTTAATTATATTAAAAGGAAATAACAGGGCCATTTCTAAGAATTTCAGATAGTATAGCCCAATCAGCCCACTTGTTGGCCCCTGTTTCTCCACAATTGTGTCATACTCTATTGTTTTAAACTCAAAATTCAATTAAACTCAAACATTTGTTGGCTTATTTTGATATTTTTTGTCAACATTGCTATAGATCACAATTCCCAAGCACATAATTATACAGGGTGTATCAAAGAAAGGTAATCCAACTTTAGCAATTTAATTCATTTTCAGGGCTGGGTGAGTGAGTTTAATTGGCAGGCTTTAATTTAATTTCTGGTTTCATGCAAAAATCTTGTACCCAAAGCTTTCTGTTGTTCATTTTATGCATGTATATACCTGGTTTGGTATATTCCTGCCTGGGAGAATTTGACTTGCTTTTGCTGTCTGAGGGTGAGGAATTTGATGTGAAACATTTACAAATATTTCCCAGCCCCCCCCCCCCCAAGGGTGGGGGGGAACAAATGATAGGTGCATAGCTAGCCATAGGGTTTAGACAAATACTGGATGTACCAGTATGCCAGGGTGCATTCCATGCAATCGCCATGCCGAAGGTTTCAAAATTTTTTTTACGCCGAGAAATTTGAAGTTTTGCGCTAGCCGATCATAAAAAGCAAAACGAAAATAAAAGCTTGCCAATTATCCAACATGGCTGACACACATATTTAGTCGACAATCGAAAAAAAGCGCATTATGTGCATACTAGATTGATAAGAATGCTTGTTTTGTTTTTCGATAACCATTTTAAGCATTGACAATGCAGGAAAGTCTACATTTCAGCATTTATGAAGAACAAACCACTTTCATGATTCGTATTTTATATTTTTAATAGGCATATATTTTCAATACAGAAATATATGCCGGGCGATTTACGCTAACACGCCAACATCTTAGCGATCGGTATGCCATTATGCCAAGACTAGTACATCTCCACGCCGGAGATCTCCTAACTTTTGTGCATGGAATGCACACTGGCCAGTATGGAATGAAGGTGGTGTGCATGGCACATGTGCCGTGCATAGGGATGTGCCCAGATACTGTTTTGCCGGATACTGGATAGTACCGGATAGTAGTCTACCGGATACCGGTTAGAAGAAAATGATGACCGGATACCGGATAATAACCGGATAATAACCATACTCCCATACAATAATTTATTAGAAACACAACATTTTATAGCTTAATTAATTAACTAGTCCAATGTGGCAATGTGTTTAATACAATAACTTCAAGAGTTTTTTGTCTCTTTGACCTATTTGTCTTTACCAAGGCCATATCTTATGATTCACCTTACATTGTTTACTGGTATTCAGTATATAAAATTCACTGCTGTTGGCAAACGAGCATTTCACATCACCATCACGAAAAAAATATGTCGTAATTTCGTCGTAATGCAGCGCACGCTCAGTAATTGTTCATGTTTCACAATTTTTAAACGCCAAGTAAACTTTTCTGTTTCATGGTTGTAACAAAATATCTTACAGTACTGTCCGGTAAATATCTGGCAAATTTATACCGGATAGTGCCGGTCTGCCAGATGTCTAAATTTTACCAGATACCGGTATCCGGGAAACATCCCTAGCTGTGCACAACTTTGCTCCAGCTAATATATTTACTAGTGGTATGTTGATGTACATTTTGTCAATGATATGTGCGGTGCACAAAAAATTGTCATTCCGTACAGGTCAGGATGTGGTCTCCATAAAAGGAAAAATGCCCAAATACGAATAGGATACTATTTTAGCGAGTTTGCCATCAACAACCATAAAAATTAAATATGCTTCATTCAATATAAATGTTTTATTGTATGGGGATTTCTTAATTTACACGTTGTAAATTTTCTTGAAACCAACCCGATCAAATATAGCACCTAGTACATACACTGATACACAGACACATAGTTGACAGTTCTGAGTTTTGCTTCAATAGAGCAAGTAAACTTTAAGTTCAAACAACAAGATAGAAGTAAATCACCTGACTATTTTCGTCGTCAAGATGTGAAAACTTTTTAAAGTGAGCGGCACTCTTTCTATAACATTTCTTTCCATATTTACATGCTGGCAAATCCGCCATCTTGCCAGTGGATACCAGATCTCCGTCGTTAGCTCCGACACAGAAATAGATTTGTGCCAGTTAGGTAATCTTCGAGTTAAAACTTTTAAATTTGAAAAGTTAGAGTTAAGCCCCGTGGAAAAAGAGGGGCTTAACTCGAAGTCATTGAAAATATTCGACGCTCGAGTTAAGCCCCGACATTTGAGGCATGTAAAAGAGCAATGATTTGAGTCGCCCACAATGCAGAGTGAATTTGCCATTGGCAGGGGCGTAGGAAGCATCAAAAGATTGGGGGGCACCGGCTTCCAGGGGCACTTTTGGATATTGAAAAGGCACCTAAAAATTTTTTCCCGCAAAAGTTTTCCCGTCATACCATACCTAAAATGTTTTAAAAACATCGAAATTTCCAAACAAAAAGGGCACCTTTGATGTTAATTTAGTATTTACAGCGACATTAGCTTGTACAAAAGGCACTTTTCATCACAAAAAAGGGCACTTTTGGTCCTTTGAAAACAATTGGGGGGGGGGGGCACGTGCCCCCTGTGCCCCCCGGTTCCTACGCCCCTGGCCATTACCAATCCCATACAGACCCATTGAACCTTGTCCGCAACATGTAGAGTTTCCACACCCAAGCCTTCGACAATTCATAAAAGCATAATATATTGCAATTCTGTCTCATGCTTCGTGACTCGTGAGTGGACGACTTACCAAGCACAAGCTCAGTCGAAGTAAACAGTAAACTCGGCAATGTTTATACTTCCATTGCAATTTGGTCTGTACTGATTACTGAACGCAAGTAACGAGATTTCGACGCCCGTAATGGTATCATCACTAGATTTTATACCCCCGCCCCAAAAAAAACACACACACAAACGAGAAGATGTGCATCTAAATGTGGCACTACAATATACTACATTTATAAAGACATATTTGTTGAAAGCAATGCATATTTTTAGTTTGGATTAAGTTATAAATAAAATATTGTATAATAACAACATTGACGGCGAGAATGGCTGCTCCCAAGAATCTTGAGAGACAGAGTAGCAGGAGAGTTTTCGTGATCTAATCTAATAGTCAACACATATTATACATAATTTCTTCTGGAATAAATACTTTGCTGTCACGGTGGCGAAGATTTAAATTTACTCACGGATTAATTTTTGCACCGCTTCAGTCAAATCCGAGTCCGAGTGAAATGTCCGAGTCACTGTTTAGCGGTTTTGTAGTTAGTAGTATAGGAACTGGCGTGTCTAGACCATTGGCAATTTTTCTAGACCACTAGTTTTTTTATCTTTAGTAAAAATCATTTATTTTTATTTTATTAAAATTAATGGTTGGTCCATTTAATTGAAATGTGAAACTGCTATTCTTGTTTTTCATTTAACTTATCTCAAAGCTTCGGGATCACCTTACCAGTCCAGCTGAGACTCTAATACGATTATCCTACACTTTCCTAATATCGTCCAACCTTCCTATTCCAAAGCCTTTTCGACATCTTTTATTTCCTCCTTGAGGGTACACAAGGCAGGGGGCCCTTGTAGTCCGGATACACTGTTGGCGTCATCCTTTTTACCCTGTGTGGTCACCTCAACCTTAATATCATTGGATACAGAGAAATTTATATCACCAACCTTCCCATTTTTGTTAGACCTCCTACGACAGCCACAGATATTACCCAAACAGGAGAAGCATGAGCGCCACTTTGACATGATACTTTATGATACAACACATGTTATCCACCTGACCCTGAATACCGCAATTACCAGCAAAAAGACAAGTCCATACTCGAACCAGTTGGCATTGAGTGTTCCGGTTTAACTATAATACACCAGGCTAGCGTGTTATCTACCAACTCAGCCTGGTTTCCTAAATAGAACATACTATTACCCTTGAAGACATAGCAAGCTGTACTTCCACCATTACTTGTGTAAGTTCCGTTGAAGTAAGTGTGTGATAGTCTTCTTAAGTCTATTGTTCTGAGAACGATTTCCTTCTTGACTTGTGTAAATTTTCCATTAGACTGCTTTTCCCATACAGTAGCCCACAGAATGAGTCCTAAGGGTATATTTAGAACAGTTGAAAGAGTTGGGAAATCTGATTTAATAGTAATTGACTCAAGGTTGAGGTCTGTCATATTATTAATAGTATCTGTTCTCCATGAAGGTGGAATCTGATCTTGACAGTAAGCATAGTACCTTGTTGCTGCAACTGATACACCACGATAACCCCAGATCCATTCTGCATAAATGTGACGATTTATTCTTACGTATCTCTTATCAGCCACTGCTTGTACAAGACCTGAGGAAGGTTTTAGGAAATTCTTTTCTACCCATTGCTTGTTAACTGCATCCTTATCATTTACCGGATCCCTTAGATCAAGAATACCACTTGAATCTCCCATATCCAAATCACCCTTTACCAGTCCACCTCTACTACTCATAAACTCATCAGTTGCCCATTTTTTGTTAACAGCAGAACCATCCGTAGTAGGATTACCTACCCTTGTTAACTCGTAATCATTAACATCAAGATTGCCCGATAAAACACCACCACCACGCTTTAAGAACTGCGAGCACCAGGAGCTCATAGCCTTATAGGAAACTGCAGCTGCGTCCCCAGCTGATCCACTACTGAGACCCGTAATACTATGCCCGCCCATGTCAATATTACCTGTCATAGTAAACCCACTACTACTAATTGAACTTCCACTAACATGATCGGTGACCCATTTTTTGGAAACAGCAGAATGATCAGTTGTGGGAGCACCTAATTTTATTATTTCATTGTTGTTCATATCAAGGTCATCAGATAGAGTAAGACCGCTGTAGGTTTCGCGCTTACTTCTACCTCCACTAATCTTATCTTTTACCCACTTTTTGTTAACAGCAGATGTATCAGCACTAGGAGCTCCAATATTTTTAATTTCATTTCCACCCATTTTTAAATTACCAGTCATTACTTGATGACCATTAATATTTAGGAGATTACTTGTGTGACTAGTTAAATAACTTTCCCTTACAAGACTAAATTCAGTTGTTGGGTCCGAGAAACAGTTAGGAGCTTTTGAAAAACCTACAATACCATCAACAGATCTAGGTTTACCGGGAGTATCATTGATATTTAGAAACGTAGGATCTAGAGCAGATATCTTATCTTCAACCCATTTTTTTTATGTAACTTCACTGTCAAGTTTGGGATTAATAATGTCAAATAACCTCCAACCTCCCATGGATACATCTGCCTGCATTATTCCACCTTTCTTAACAAAGTTATAATCAACCGCCCACTTTTTTGTTACAGCGGACTGATCTTCGGATTGATACAGCGGACTGATCTTAAGATTTTTAATTTCATGGTCCTTCATATCAATATCATCAGCAATATCAAGTCCAGATACAGGTTTATTTAACATTCCAACTACCCAGTCCTTATTAACAGCAGACTTCCCAGTTGTAGGATCGCCCAAAGCCTTTATCTCATTTGTTGACATATTGAGGTCATTTGTAAGTATAAGACCAGGTAAGCTTACATGTATATGCCTGCGGCTACCTTCAACCCAACTCTTACTAGCAGCATCACCTGGATTAGTAGGATTATCAAGATTAGTTATCTTATTACCTCCCATGTTAATATCCCCAGTCATTGTAAACCCTGCTGGTTGAATTGTAACAGCAGCCTGTTTAATGATCTCATCATCCACCCACTTTTTTGTGACCGCAGACGTATCATCTGTAGGTGCACCCAGACCTTTCACCTCATTACCATCCATCTCAATGTCACCCTTCATGGTAAATCCATCCTTATCAAACACACTACCACTTGATGGGTCAACTTTATTTACTCCTTTGTTGTATCCTCTATAGAGAGCCATTTTTATAACATACACAATGTTTCACAGAACAGTTCTCAATATAAGAAACACAGCAACAGACCCGATACCAAGTCCAGCTAAAGCACCATCACCTAAGGACTCACGCTGTGTGATAGGTGTGCTGGTCTTAGGAACAACCTGAGGTGCAACACTTACAGAACTCCCCGGAACTTTCGTGTTTCCACTAAGAGTATCAAGGTGGTGAACTGGTGTGCTATTTTGATGCTGTTTCTTTGGAGGATCAACTTGCTTAACACCGACATAATTTACCGACATAATTTACCGACATAATTGACAGGATTCACCCCAAATTTCATTGTATTAGTTGCCGTCTTTAGAAGGTTATTATAACCGAGAATCGGAGTTTTAAGAATAATAAAGCTAGACGGGATTAAAACTATTCCAGGGGATAAAGCAGTGTTTAGAATCACATTGGTGTCCCTTACAGCTTTCCTCATATTACTAATTGTTGTTACCGTATTACTTTGTAAAATAGTAGACTTCACAATAGTTCTAAAGTCACGTTGTGTTTGAAGAGCCTTTGGACCGTTTCCTTCTATTGACCACCTTGTATTAGCTTGAGATCCCAGAATAGCGTACACATAGGACTCAATGCTTTCCTGGATAAGCTCAACACCCAACTTAGTAAAGCCATTGCTTTTTTCAGCTATGAATGAAAGGTAATCACTACCAAACAAAGGTCCTGCACTAGTTGTAGCACCACTTTCATCAATAATATAATTCTGATTTATTGGAGTGTGTTTCCTTACAATATCAAGGTTAACACCAAGTTTATCAATAGCATCCTTACTGACTGTTAACTTTCTAGTTGTGTAGTAAAGATGATACCTCATAATGGATGTTATTATTTTAGGAACGGAATTACTTTCACGAACGTGTTCTAGGGATACACCGCTGAGATAGCTAGCTATGTAGGCGCCAGACAACATTCTAGTGTATGGTATTGTATTGAAGGAAACCTTTCTTACATCCTTATTAGTTAAATTAGGACCTTCATCCCAACCTACACCAGCATCAGGGAAGTTAGACATGAAATAACTGTTTTCATTTACATAGATCTTAAAGTTGTTAAAGTTGTAGGGAAGACTTACAGGAGGTCGATATGTGTTAATATGATAGCCGTCATCAT